ATCTAACCATTTATCAGAATTATCACCATTAATGGCGTCTGAAAATGAAACTGGGTAATTATCAATACTTAGGTCATTTTCTGACTCTTGTAGATAAACCATGTAATCATTTGAAATAGCAGACTTTCTTTCTATGTGAGATCTTCTTAATACTATTTCTTGTGGTTGTTCTATTATCGGCTCATTGTTAATCTTGGGTTTTACAACATGTGGAACAATAATTCTTGAAGAAGATGTACTAATTATAGGAACTTGTACTCTAACTTCCTTAATTTCCACATTTCGTGAAACTTCACTTCCATTGGTTTCACCATTTCAATTAACCGAACATTTCCAGTTTCAACAATTCTTGCACTATGAGTAGGACAGTAAAACATATACCCTTTTGATTTTTCTGGATAACCAATGAAATATCCACTGATTGTTCTTGCATCCAGTTTCTTTTCTTGCGGATTATAAATTCTTACTTCTGCCTGATAACCCCAAACATGTAGGTGTCTCAAACTGGGTTTCCTACTTGTCCATAACTCAAAAGGAGTCTTTTGATCTGCTTTACTAGGAACCCTGTTCAACAAATATATGCAGTCTTCAAAGCATACATCCACAACGATACAGGTAAACATGAATTACTTAACATGCTCCTAACCATATCCATTAAGGTTCGATTACGCCTTTCAGACACACCATTTTGCTGTGGTGTGCCTGACATTGTGTATTGAGCACAAATACCACGCTTCTCAAGAAACTTAGCAAAAGGACCAGGGTTTTGTCCATCTTCATCATATCTTCCATAATACTCACCACCTCTATCTGACCTGACAATTTTCACCTTTCTGCCTAATTGTCTCTCCACTTCATTTATATAACATTCTAAGGTATTTACTGCTTGAGATTTCTCATGTAGTAAATAGACATGTCCATAACGCGAGAAATCGTCAATGAAGATGATGCAATACTTCTCTTTATTAAAAGAATTTGTGTCAAATTGACCACATATATTAGTGTGTATGATTTCAAGAAGTTGAGTGCTTCTTGTGACTCCTTTCTTTGTGTGTTTTGTTTCTTTACCTTTAATACAATCCACACATATATTCAGATCAGTAAAATCTAAATCTGGAAGGATTTTATTCTTTACTAATCTTTGCATTCTTTCTTTGGAAATATGTCCCAAACGTTTATGCCACAAGTAAGCAGATCTTTCATCCACCAAACTAAGTTTAGTGCCAACATTATGATGCAAGGTCATGAGAGTTTCAGCATATAAATGATCCAAATTCAATTTATATAAACCATCATAAAGTGTACCAGTTCCAATCATACAAGTACACTTAAATAAACTGAAACAACTATTCCCAAACTTAAAAGAGTATCCAACAACATCAAGCTTAGACAAAGAAACTAAATTTCTTGTGATACTAAGTACATAAAAAGTATCCATAAGGTCTAAGTGATATCCAGTGTCAAGGATCAAACGATAAGTCCCGACAGCTTCCACTGGAACCTTGACTTTATTCCCCATGAAGACGAACTTCTCATTTGGGTTTATGGTTTGGGTTGAAAGGAATCCCTGCATCACATCAGAAGCATGAGTCGTACATCTAGAATCAATCCACCAAGTATTATGGAGAACTTTAGTTAAGTTTGATTCAAAACATACGTAAGCACTATGCTCACCTTTCTTTTCGAACCAAGCTTTATGCTTTAAATAGTCCTTCTGGAAATGTTCAAACTTCCCACAGAAATGACATTTGTCATTTTTCTTCTGAATGTTAGTAGCTCTGTTAATCTTTAATGGTCTTTTACCATTTCCATGTTTCTTAACAACTTTATTTTTAGCTCCTTGATTTTTCACGTAATAAATATAGTGACTTCCTAGGTTCTTGAGTTTGGTCTCCTCCTGGATTAACATACTGTGCAATTTATGCACATTCCATTTGTCTTTCATGGTATTATAATTCATCTGGAACAAACCATACTCAGATGGTAACGAGTTCAAAATGAACTGCACAAGAAAATTTTCTTCCACTGTCATTCCAAGTGACTTGAGTCTTGCTGCGATATTTGTCATTTCTATTACGTGTTCATGCATACTACGAGAACCATCAAACTTCATGGTGGTCAATATACTCATCAATGTCCCAGCGAGAGATTTGTCAGTAGTTTAAGAGTGCTCTTCCACAAATTTCATAAACTCTTTCGCATCTTCAGTTTTAGGAAGAACAGACTTAATATTGTTTGCTATACTCATTCGCATAAACATAAGACTAAGTCAGTTTGATCTTTCCCAAGCTCTATAATGAGTTTTCTCTTCATTTCTACTAGCATCAGTGATAGCAATTGGTTTTTCAACTTGGAAAGCCAAATCAAGATCCAACACACCTAAGTGAAATTGGACTTGTTCACTCCAATCAGAGAAATTTAATCCATTAAAGACTGAAACAGACGAAAAAAGCGAATGTAGAGCTACAGGAACAAATACTGCAATTAACACATGCCTAACATTAACGTTTTGAGTCATAAAAATTAAACATAAATACAAATTCAAATATAAATAACCATTCTATGCATACTAATGTTTTCCTTTGGGAGATCCACTAATACACAAACATAATTACGCTAATCATTTTATAAAATTAATGATAATTAAAATATGCATCAACTAGAATCACCTAACACCTTTGGGTATTTAAATAAAACTAGTGATGCACACAAAATTATCTACTTTCATGTTCATTAATTATAATAACAACTAATCAACCTTTGAGCGATCTTGAAATGCCTTATAATAATGAACTTCAATTAACCCATAAATCAATTATTCATAAGTTTAGCGTTCATACTATGGGTAATTGAAATAAAATCATTAATAATTTGAAATAAAAATAATCTTAAAATTTTGGCCACTTTGGTGACTAACAAAATTTATCATGCTTAATTTTAAATAAATAACATCTTTAATTGCTATTAATCATTCATAGCATTTTTCATTAATTAGATATATGTATATTAGGAAGTGCTTCAACTTTGATAGGAGCAAAAGCCCAGATCCTCTGTGATATTTTGACCAAGAGTACAAACGGGTGATTACGTGCATGGAGTCCCTCACGGACGGGGATCCAATGGTCCCTTGACTACCATCACCCAAACACATCACCTTCATCCATTTCAACTGGACCCCACTAACGAGTGGCAGATCTTGACCATTGATCTTGGGGGACCAAATAATATATTATTAATAAATAATAAATAAATATAAAAGGAAGAAAGAAGATGAAAGGGTAAAAGGACAAAATTGTAAATATATACTTAAATATATTAAATGATCATTAAGTTAGAGAGAGATAAAACCATAAATTATATGAGTTACAAAACTAAGGAAGTACTGAAAGGATAAAATTGTAAATATACAATTAAATATATTAAATGTTCATTAAGTTTGGGGGGCCAAAATTATAAATTACATGGAAGTTACAAAACTTTGGGGGAGCTACAGCCCCCCTCAGCTCCCAAGAAAATCCGCCACTGCCCACTAACCACTTTCGCTTTCATCATCCTCGACACCTCCAATGATCGCCTTGCTCTCATATTCACATTTCATTAATATAAAATCATTTGATGGAAATTAAAATGAATGTACAAAGCCATTCACATATTCACATTTGCAATTCAATTGCACATTGGGCCACATATTAACTCATACTGGTGTACGTAAATTAATCTCAATTTCACATTTCACAATTCCATAATTCCATATGTACGTGTCAATTGCATTTTAAATTAATTGCAACGGAGATCAATGAAAAGTGAGATGTCATGCTATTTTTAAATCGATTGATAGATACTCTTATCCTTTCTTGATCCATAAATTAGGATTTATCCTTTTATTTAATTTTGAAAAAATAAATTTAAGAATAAATTAGGATTCATGCTAATTTGATAGAGAAATCCCTAAATTCATAATTAGTGTTTATCTTAATTTGAGAAAAACATAATTTGGAAAAACTTTCGTAAAAGGAAAATCATAAATCTAATAACACAAGCTTTGATACCACATGTAAAACTTTATGTAGTTTTCCTACTCTCTTAATTAATTCTAGAAATCTACTCTACATGATCTTTAGATTATTGATTTTCACAATATAACATACATCAATACATGAATCATAGTAAAAAGACTAACATTGATCCATGAGAATCTCTTCTTTAATCTTTTTGTTCTCCAATCTCATTTTCTCAATCTATCTCTTTGCCTTTTTTTCTCTTCTCATGCTTTCTTGATGGTTTACCGTGAAAAAACCTTATGACCAGAGACAAAACCCTAATTCCTTTTATTAACCAATATCTATCAAGTTGGTTACCGTAAGTTTTTATTTTATTTTATCTTTATTTTATTTTAACTTCACGTAATAATTAATAGGTCCTTATACTTTATTAAATCATATTTGAGTCCATTATTATATTTCACATGAGTAACATAATGAAATGAATTAATTAAATTAGTTTTAACAATTTATTCTTTTCTTCATACTTGCACTCCCAACACTGAACAGGATAATTTCTCTGACAACTGATCTACATATAAGTGGGATCTTTGTCTTTTAACTCTAAAGTAACACTACCTTGGCAAATTACTTTAAATCATCTACAAGAGAAAGATTGGATGAAAAGTTGGCATGTAGCATTTTAAGATGCATGGTTCGGTCAATTTGTTATATTTTTCAAATGTTTAGGAATGATTTGTCACTCTTACTAGCTGTGTCATTTGATGTTCTTTCTTTTAACTATATACAGGTTTGGTATTTCTGGTATTGCATTCGGTACATTTTACATGTAGAAAAAGAAAAATAAAAAGATTTAAAGGTACCCAAATTTTTTATTTTATTCATGTGATGTTTTCATTTAAAGAACACGATTATTTGGAGATACACAAAGTAACATACGTAATTAGATTCTGTTTCCTCGCAGTTCTTCTCTACAAGATGAATTATGCACTCATTTTTTCATCTTTGGTTATGCTTTCCTGCATCTAAAATCTTCAGTAACTCGTGAGGTCGACAAGGGAGTGCCAGAGCTCCTTGGTGTCGGAAACCATACTCTTCTTGAGCTTGGTCTAGAAGTCTCAAAAATGCAGGATCAGACAAGTAATCTAACCCAACAATAAACCTTTTTGTTTCTTCACCCTTTGTTGCAAGAACAGCAAAATACCCTTCCATGACATCATCTGGTGCCGAAGTTGTGGCACAATCTTCACTGAAGTAGCTGAATGTGGGCCTTCTAGCTACGAGCTGTGAGAAACCCTTGTGTACCTTTCCAACAAAAGACCTAAGCATCTCGCTCCAACTTTGTTTTCTTCTGATACAAAATAGTGAAATAAAGAGTTAGAAGTTTTAGAGGTTGGTGTTGTGAATCAAGTGTTTGGGTATTTATGCTAAATAGAAAACGCGGAATTTCTTGACTCTACTGCGGATTGCAAACAGTGAAGGCGTGTTTCATGCACTGCATTTATTGCCATTTGCCATTATTTGAGGGATCCTCTTATCCTTGAGGGAGGGCCTAGCAGGAAATTTCTTGTAGCGTGTTTCTCTTATTTTTTTTATTATTTTCAATAAATTTATTATTTTTTTCATTAATATCTTAATATTTTCTTTTCATTCAAAATCTGATAATTTATTATTTTTTTATAATAAATATAATTAAAAATAAGATATAATTAATAAAAGAATAATTGATAGAATCTTAAATTTGTGAATTATATATACTTAAAAACAAAATTTTCTTAATAAAATGTGATTTATTTTAAAATAGATGGAGAATATACATGTTCTTTCACAATTCAAGAATATATATTTTTTTGGCTAAAATGAATGTTTCTAACTTAACACCCAGATTTTTTGGTGTAAGCGAATGTTAATTTTTAAAATGCATGGGTTGTGATACAGGGTTTTAGTTGCAACTCTTGGTGCAGAGACCTTAAAAACTTGATTTGGTAATCTGGGAAATTGCCATGGCACTGCAGAAACTTTGAGATTGTAACTATAGTTAAGATTGCAGAGTGTATTTCACAACCATGTTTAAGGCAAAAATTAGTTTATTTCGTTGATATTGAAACAAATCAAAACCAAATATGAAGTCTTTTTTGTACAACCATTATGGTAAATTCACAAAGCTCTACTTTTGAATGATTGTCATTTTTCGCTTAGGGTTGAATGAATACGTTGGGTATTCTCGGGTTAACAAGAGATATATTCTCGATAATAATATAAAGAAATAACCGGCACGATTGAGTATTATTAATTAGAATAGATAAAAGATCTTAGATTGTGAAGCCAATATTCAACACATAAGCTTACAAGGGAAATCCATAATGTAAATTATGAACTAAAGTGATTATATTATAATCCAAACTGATTCAATTTAAATCCGTGTCTAGTTTAACTTGTTTTACAGATTGTTTAACATTATTTCGTATTCTTGATAAAGGTTTAATTGCGATTGTGGTTGGGGACGTAAAATTACTGTCATTATTATAAAGAATAAATATGTATGAACATGCTATTTGATGATTAACAAAAAAAAGTAAGAGAGGCTAAATCTAATAAGATATATAAAGATAAGTAGAGAGAAAAAAAATTTATAAAAAGGGTCAAATTAGGGTTTATGATATAATACATAGAGTGAGATAAAGATAGATAGAATCTACTTATTAATTTATTTTTAATTATATATATATATATATATATATATATATATATATATATATATATATATATGTAGATTTATTTATTATTGTACTGTTTTTTTTAAAACACATGTTGGTAAGCATCACTGCATGAAAAATCCTAAATAGCTTATCACTCCAATCTCATCAATCAAATGCAGTCAATATAGAAATCCACAACAAAATAAAAGAAAAAGTATTACAAGAAAAAATGGGAGACCAAGGCAAAATCCATTCAAGAAAACCTATATTCAAAAAGACCAAATTTATTTCTAAAAAATTCAAGAATTATACTATGATATCGTTCAAATGGAAATTTGTTGTTCTGTCTCATATTCGCAATTAAATATGTGATGTCTTTACAAAGAGTCATGTTCTTGAACCACCTACTTATCTGGTTTCAGGGCACCATATCCACATTGTTGAAAGCGTTAAATAGAGAAGTTGAATCGGTTGATTTACAACCTATGTCAATACCTAACAAAAGCATTTTCAATGTGTTTCTGGTGGAATTTTGATTAATTTCGATTCTTAAGAGACTTTGATTCTAACCAAAACTCAACCACGTAGATTCTTTATACTTAGGCTAGCAACTGAATTTCAATCGAAATGCGTATGAGAATCGAAAATACCACTGTATAGAAACTACTAAGATTAATAATCGAAAGCACTATTTTTGGTATTTTATATTTGAAGTACTCGAAATAAGGAAAATAGTGACAAATCGAAAAGCAGCACCGAATGTAAAACTGCGAAGGAATGAAAATGCGAACACCTCAAATTTGTATTAAGTGTAAACGACAAAGCATCGAAATTGCGAAATATAAATAACGGAAATCAAAATTATAGAAATGTAAATAACGGAAATCGAGATTACGAAATGTAAATAGCGGGAAATCGAAATTACAGAAATGTAAATAACAGGAAATCGAGATTACATAAATGTAAATAGCAGGAAATCGAGATTACAGAAATGTAAATAGCAGGAAATCGAAATTACAGAAATGTAAATAATAGGAAATCGAGATTACAGAAATGTAAATAGCAGGAAATCGAGATTGCAGAGATGTAAATGGCAGGAAATCAAAATTACGTTAATATAAATGACAATGAACTTAAACGCAGAAAATTAACTTTCATTAAAGAGAAATGACAAGGAATCGAAAATACAGAAACTTAAAATTGCTAAACATAAACTGCATCAAAATAAATTACCAGGGAAAATAAAGAAAACGGTAAAGGAAATCAATGAACATGGAAATCCAGATCGCCAGAAACTTCATGATGTTCGTCGTTCTCCGGTAGACTTCTCACTAGTATTCCTGCTCTCTCTGCCAATTCCCCTTCTCTCCTTCATCCTCCACTCTATTTATAGGGCATCCTTTCAGCAAGTAACCTCTTAGGAGCAGTTAACAAAAACTGCTACCACGTCTTACGTGCACGTTGCAGTTTCTTCTTCGGTATTAAAACTGCACCCACGTTCCCATGATCTTCGACCTCTGCCACGGTTTAGAAACTGTTTCCTATGTGTGTGTTTAACTGTTCCTCCCTTTATGACCTAGCCGGGATTTCGATATCCATGCAGGTTAGCCTTCCTCTTGATTTTGATCTCTTGATCTCGAGAACTTTGGATTGCTCTTGGTTTTCCTTAACCTTAACATTACAAAATTTTAATTTCTCGAAAAAATTCTTCCTTCGATTTCTCGATTCTAATTCTCGATCATATTGTCACATGGTCGTCGAATGTATTTTCCAACCATCTTTCGATTTATCAGTCTTTAACTCAATCAAAATGGTTTTCGATTTTTTGCTCCCATTTGTTTCTCGATCCCTTTATCAATTTCTCATTAACAAAATGCCCCCTTGGAAGAATATAAAAGTTTGTATTTATATTCTTTCAACATGATTCCCGCCTTTTGGAGGCCCATCAGAACTTAGGGTTTAGGGTTGCTGGGATTTTAGGGTTTTTTCCACTTTATGTCACTTGTCATGTCAGTTCTGCCACCTCACTGCACACGCCACATTAATTACCCTTCGTCGCTTCGAGTACCCTAGTGCTTCAAACGTTTGTTAGCCTTTTACTCTTGTCTTTTACCACGAACTTTACTCCTCCTCTGCATCTTCGTCTTCTTCCTTGCACCTCCGTCTTTTACCCTCTGTTTTCCTCTGCTCTATCAGCTAGTGAAATGGCAACCTCATCCCGATCCTCTGACCTTTCCACCCCACCACTTCCTTCGGTGGCCACCAACCTATTGGAGATCAATAACCAGAAATTCGCTCCAGTTCCTCTGATGGAGGAAGCTTCTCAGAAAATCGCTGAGATGTAGGTACTCATTCCCTATACTGCTGATAATATTAATTACGCTTTCGGAGGTCCTATCCGCTATTGTGGCGGATCTTTTTCTTCTTCTCTTAGCCTTCCTTCAGAGAGTAAAGCTCTTGTCCATCAGCCTGAGGTTCGAATAGATTTTCTACACATTGTATCCAGGGCATATCGAACGGGCCCACCTCACAAAAAACCATCGTACATGAAATGGTTTGATCGAATTAAGGCTAAGTTTGGGGACCATTGGAGGGCTGTAGGAATTTTCGATTTTCTTCATTTGTCTCAGTGTGACTTGTCCTTCTTGGATATGTCCATGTTTTTATCTGCTGTTCATTTATGGAATAAGGACTTGCATGCTTTGGAACTGCCTTGTGGCCCTTTTTCGCCCACTCTTTTCGAAATTGCTGCTATTACCGGGCTAAAACCCATAGGAGAAAAATATTTTAAAGGTGCTTTTTCTTCGGACAATTCCTTAAAGTCCAAAATCGATTGGGAATCGAAAGCCTATGGGCATTTTCTCGAGAAACATTTCATTGATGACTCAACAGTGGCTGTTTCTGATGAGGAGCACGTGACCTTCTTGGTATACTGGTTATGCACCCACGTCTTCTGCCCCCGATCTATCCAAATTACATCCCACCTTTATAACCTCGCCTACATTCTTCATACTGGCCAACCACAAATTAATTTAGCCAAGTTATTATTGGCCCATGTTTATACTGCTTTCAATGAGGCCGTCGATATTTTGAACGCCTCTAGGGCCTCGGGGAATTTTTCGGGTCCTATTTGGTTTATTCAATTATGGCTCACCTCGATTTTCGAAAGTACCCTCCCCCCAACCTTGCAAATCCCCCCAAGTTTGAATTTAGAGGGTGCTCGATTATCTTCTCGACATCCCCACCACAAATCCGATGAGACTAGTTACCGAAATTACTTGCAATTTTTGCTGACCCGCTTTCATTTTGATTCGAGTTTGGCCCCTTTTACTGTGTATCTTGGACAAATAAGTGACCAACTTCGAGAGCAAACATGGTTTAGATCGAAATTTCCTGCTCTTACTCCCGGACTACAATCGGAATTGATCGAACTATGGAGTAATTATTTAGCTCAAGATGTCTTGGTATCGGGTTTCCAATCGAAGGACCTTCAACTCATCACTTATTACCCCCAACTTTTCTCGCGGCAGTTTGGTCTGAGTCAAGCCTTACCTTTTTATCCTCTCGATACTTCCCCAAGGTCCAAGTTAAGTGAATCGACAATCGGATGGGAGCTCTCCAAACTGTTGC